TTAATTGCATTTTGAAAATTTCTGTTGATACAAAGTTAAAAAGAAGGGACACGTGGGCCTTATAACCAAAACGTAGTCATTACAGATATTAGCTACACGTTTTATTATTTTTCTTATCTGAAAGCTGTTTAAAAAACAAACATATTAAGTCGTGGAACGTTCGTTTTTATGGTTATACCTGGTTATGGAATCGTTCTTGGTTATACATGTATCCAAAGATAATTTTTCTTGGTATAACGCTTTCAAGGACTCTTCTAAAGATATGTACCCGTTTCATCAATTATCCAAACTATTTCATTTTAAGATATTCGTGTTTTCGGTCATGTTGATTTTTATTATCGTTAATGTGTATTTTATAGCAGTTTTTAAATCTTCCAAATTCGTACCATAAATATAAAGTTGTGAAATACTTCATATTTTTCGGTATTTTCATTACCTCGGCTCACGTGCATGTTTTTCCTTGTAACTTTATTACTCTCATTGTTTTAATTCATTTTTAATATTTTGTTAAATGCTTCGAATTCCAAGCCTAGACTTTTCTTTTTTAATATAGTGTATGCGGTATCAGTGTGGTGAAAGCATAAATAATTTTCGAGGTAAGTCCTGCCATCTACGTTTGATGTATGACGACATTAAATAAAATGAACTAAAAGTGACAGGGAAATACTTTAAACTTTTTCTTCCACTATATTACATTTCTGAGAAATGTTTAAACAGCAACTATCGTATGTATTGAACTCCTCGGAACAAAAAAATAGTTTAGTCAAATTGTGCATTCGGATTTATTCTAAAGATATCACAAAAATATAGTGTTAATTTGATCATATCTTTAAAGGCAGAGTACAATAGTAGAAAAACTAACGTGACAAACCCCTCAATTATGTGATAAAGTGCTCTCGTCAAAGATATGTAAAACGTTAATGATGTGATTTCGGGTTATGTTGTAAGCTATGTTTTCAATGTTGTAATTTGTTTCTTAGCTAGGGGGAACTGCGGCTCGTAAATGAAGACATTAAGTAGGCTGCCTAGAAAGTTCTAAAACTGAACGTTAGGTTTTGTTCTAACACATTCGAGCGTAGATAATAAATACGAGATACTTCAAGTGTGTATTATTATATCAAGATGGAGCGTTCAGTCAGTCAACGTCAAGTATTTGGAGCTGTGTTTACATAAGCGTAGTACAGTTTGGAGTTTAAACTGTAACATAGGCCTACAATAATTTACGACGCTTTACAAGTGTTGAAGCTTGAAGAAAAAACTTTTAAAGGAGAAAGTAATTTTTCTTGTCTGGCAAACTAAACGTTGAATTATTTTCACCAGACAATTTAAAAGAGCGCTACATCAATTATTTACCAATAATTAGAAAAGTTCATTTTAGCAATGTGCTTTTATAACCAAGAAGTTACACTTGTTCTTAGATAAACACAGTTGTAAGTATTAGATAAACTATTAGCCTGATCGGCTTACATCAAAATAAACTCCGCCTGCACCGAATTTATTAGCGTATAAGAAATGCTAGGTTTATTACCCATATACAGTTAGATTGGTATTGAGTGGTTGACAATAGATAGACGTAATTTTTATGAACCGGGAAAACATAACTACATAATTCTACATAATTCTCAAAGTGGTGTGTACAGCAGCATATTAAAGAATAAAAACACTAACTAACATTGTTATGAAGTCTAAATATTAATTACATAATTTATACGATACTAATCTTACCTACTTTAAAAATTAAGTAGAAAAACATCACTACAAATATTTATGGTGAGGGAGGAACTTCAGAGTTTACAGAAAAGCCACGAAATAGAGTTCGTGGCGTAGGCTCATTTTAACAGGTACGAACTACTTTTTAGGACACTTTAATACTAGTTTTGAAACAAAGGGTGCGATGAAGTACAGCAAGATACGCCACACTGCCGATGTAACATTTCGGACTTTGTACTTTTTATTCAATACACTATTCACATTATTAAGTCAAACAAAAAATTCTTTACGATTTGAAAGTCGACTGTTGTCTTTTCTCTGTCGTGAGACGACTGTTGTTTGTTATCTGTGATAAGACCGTTAAGTTATCAGTTCCTCAAGAAACATTAGTTTGAGAATGTAGGTGACGCTAAACAGATTTATATTGAGCATGATGGATATTTAAATACAAAGTTAAAGAAAATGACCAACGTTCGATCATAGAGTCCAGATAGTTTGTTTGTTTTCTCGTTTATTTATACAAAAATACCAAGGTTGTCAGCTGCCATCCCCAATTTCAGCGCCGGATTCGATCTTACGAGTAGAGCTTCCGAATCAAGGTGGGGTTTGGCCAAAACATAGACTCTCTGCTTGAAACGTATGTAATTTTTTTGAAGGGACTTAACTGTGCGTCTAAGTACTTAAATCTTACTGTTGTTAGAAGATCCAATGGTGGTGCAGTGAGTGTATGGTTAAATGCATGTTATTTGACTAAAATTAAGATCCGTATTAAGCATTTTCTAGCTAATTATTAACACTTATTTTTGATAACCTATTCTGACTCAGCTTTAAGTTTCATTTTGAATGGTGGATTATACCAAAAGTCATATTTTAAGCAGTTCGTTGTATTTAACAAGCTTCTAGTCACATAGTTTACTCTGGAGTTTTTATTCTGAGACTAAGTTTCAGGCTACATGCGAGATGAGTGTGCCAGTATTTTACAATATCTGTATAAAAAATACGTACCTTAAACATCAACTTCAAGTCTATGGAAGACTTCGTAACTTACGGTACAGTTCCGTGGTATTCCTTAAAATTGTACAGTTTCAAATGTTGTATTCGTTTCTTCCACTAGTAGTTATGAAAAACGACAAACGCACGTACTTATAAATTAATTTATACACTATAGCTAGATTTGGAAAGAGCAGTCGGCTGTACATCACTGTACATCAACTTACATTGGAGAAGACAAAGAAAGAAAAATAAGTGGCTAAAGGATTTCGCTCCGATTTTTCATACAAGTTATAATCAGTGTCTGAGGAATTTGTTCAGTAAACTAACGTAATCACATCAAGAGTAGTTCCCTTAAAAAAAAAAAATTGTTAATTAGAAGGAATTCACCATTTGGGACTACTCGCCTCCTTGGACGTCGAATCATTATTTACCAATGTGCCAGTCCAGGATACGATAGACATAATCTGCGACAACGTTTACAGACACCCGACCATGTCTCCACCCAAAATACCTGAAGAAATAATGCGTGAACTTCTACTCGCCTGTACTACGAAGTCACCTTTTCAACATATCAATGGTTCGCTATACCAGCAAGTCGACGGAGTTGCCATGGCTTCTCCTCTTGGAGTAACCTTCGCCAATTTTTACATGTGTCACATAGAAAACAAAGTGCTGCAGGACCACCATCCCGCACTGCAGATACGTCGACGACTGCTTCATCGTTACCAGGGACACTGATGAATTAATGAAGCTCCGACAAAACCTACAGGACAACTCTGTGCTTAAATTTACCCACGAAATAGCCACTGAAAAAACCATCAATTTTCTGGATGTACATAT